CCCCCCACCCCCTATCCACCTTCATCCCAACCATCACTTCTCAACATAACTTAGTCATTTCATCGAGTTAAATCTTCTGATCTGAAAATGTGTTAATACTTCGGCGATTAGAGAAAAACGAAACGAAATTGAAATAGACCACCACGTCGAAAGTGACCCTCTGTCTGAATGAAGGAAGAAGGAAAAAAATTTAAAAAATAATTTTGATTTTTTTTTTTTGGGCGTAATTTCTTATTATTTTCCTTTATCATTCTTTGTTAAAATTAACAGAATCACATAATTTCATATTTTTGGGCTCAGTTTGCATAATTTCATTTTTTTTAAAGCAAATAACCGCGGGGACGGATAAGCTATACGGGTTTATAGTAGGGTTCGAAAAGAGTCCACATGTCTTAAGGTATCCAGCGACCCAAGAGAAACTCAACCTTATTTGAAACCGGCACAACACAGTGTTCTTCGTGACTTGTCCGCCACAACACAATCTCCTCGCCCTGTTCTACGTTTTCACTCCCAGAACTACAGTACTCTGCTGTCCCTCAAATTTTGTCTCTTCCGTATCTCGTTCACCCTTCTCTTTGTCTCCTCTCTGCCATTCATTATTCAATGTATGAAATCACAGTTGTGGAACATCATTTTTTCTTATGACAATAGAACTGAAAAGTGAAAACTCAAAGTGTGATTTTTTCTTGACGAAACGGTTGGTTAAGGGGCATGCTTTTCCCTTTAACAAAAAAAATAATAATAATTAAGCTCCACTCCAAGCAATAAGAGTAAGTTGAATGCTGGGGGTAAATGTGTAGCCTATGCTTAGTGTACGATGCTCACATAAATTGACAAGCTTGTCTAGGTGAAAAATTAATAGTTTGCTGTTTTCATCGGCAGTATTGATCTCGCACATTGATTAATGCTGTGCCTGTTTCAACATACATATTTTAAAGCAGAAGACTTGAAACGACAATTATCCTCTTTACGACAAGATAAAAAGTTTTCAACGCTATGGGTTTGATCACATGTCAATGCCGTCGATTGCATTACAAAGTTCTCATCAGTGTGATGGGAAGGCAATATCGAAGAGTGGATTGACACAGACTGGAACAATTAATGGCGCTGTGGGAGGCTGAGAACCACGATGAATGAAATAAGCTGTTGGAAAAATCTACAGTGGTGCTCCAACAGTCATCCAGACTTTGGGATATAATTTATGAAGGGGACGAAGAATCAATTTCGAAAGTCAGCTTTAAACAAATCATGCTCATAAACAGGATTGTAAAGCGATTCTGTTAAGAGACATGAGGTTGCAACCCGTTGAAAATAAGTACATTTGTATAACGTTTCATTTTCAAAAGATTCGAACCGTGGTCTCTTAGACTTGTATTACTCAAGGCAAGAGTTGTACCAGCTAAGATCTACGATAACAGCGAAGCCCTATAATACGCCTTGTGATCAATTTGGTACCGAAAACCTGTTAGATCTGCCTGCCAACGGCAATCCTGGCTTGCAAAACCACCGACGAGGCGCTCATGGACCAGGGGATAAGATGTCCTCCTCTCATTCAAAGGTCCCGGGTTCGAATCTGGGTAGCGACCGAGAAATTTTCTACTCTAAAATTATCTCCGTTCACCGTCTTTCCTTCTCTCTTGCCATAGTCTGTCGTCTACTTTCGTCTCCACTTTCTTCCCCCACCCCCTCGCCTCCTTTGCCCCCTCCACTGGGCTCCTGACTCTTTCTGCAGCATTTCTACTGCTACTCCTTGGCTCCTTCATACTGCTGTCGTTCAACCATACCCCTGATCTTCTGGTAGAAAAGATCTACACCTAGCCTTCTCGGACAAGGGCGAAAAATCTCAGAGGTCCCGAGTGCAAGTTGGGGACGTTAAAGAACCCTTGGTGGTCTAAAATCGATAAGAGTAGGCTTCGGGCAAATTCAAAATTTCCTACCAACTTAAAATGTTTGGTGTGTCCTGCGAGCTCATATGACCTTATGCAGTTGCGAGCGCGTAAAACACTTACCAAAAAAAAAAAATTCCAACGACCAAATTGTCGATCCCTTGTAGGTCTAGTAGAGAGGTTGGACAAACATGTATACACCTTTTGTTTAGATAAAAGTAAGATTTGAAATCTGAAATCCAAAACATAGCATTTAAAAAAAAATGTTTTGCCGTAGCTTGCCAACAATACATTTTTGAGTATTCTTGCGAGAATGTGTGAGTGTGTCTGAGCATAGTGTGTATGTGTGTGTGTGTGTGTGTGTGTGTGTGTG